CCAGCACTGAGTAGGTCTTCAATGCGTATTTATTCCTTTTCCTGTGGCTCCCCACTCTGGGGCAAGCTGGGCACTTGCTCTTTGAAGCTGCTGTCTCATGGAGCACCTACTCTGTGCCAAGACCTGCACCAGGTGCTATCCCTGATGAGTATGGTGTTATCTGACTCCCTTGCTCTAAGAGATTGGGGAGGGGCCACCCCAGCCTCACAGCAAGCAGGTAAAGTTACACAAGCGGTTATAAAAGTACACCAGGGATGGGGAAGACTGTGAGTTTCACCCTCTTCCCCCAAAGACATTTTCTGCCTCTACGTTTCCTTGGGCTGGTCCCTCATCTCAAGTGCTCTTCCCTGCCTGAAGAAATCTTCCCATCCCTCAAGGTGCAGCTCAAAGTCCTATGTCCTTGGTTAGGTGGTTGGGTATAAGAGCTCTATTTAGACCCAGCAAACCTGGTCCTATCCAGTTTCTCCACCTGCCAGGAAGTACATCTCTTTGGGAAACTTATTTAGATTCTAAACTTTAGTTCCTTCATAGGAAAAATGAGATTAACACCTTTTAGATTTGTTGTAAGGCTCTGATGAGGTAATGTAGACATGACACCTGGAACACAGTAGGTACTCAATAAAGTTATTACTGCTACCCTTGGCACTCCCCGAGCACTTAGGCCCTGGCACATTCTGCCCTGTACTTTCTTGTGGGGGTGGTTCTTATACTTCAACTAGCCTGGAAGCTCTGAGAGCAGTGCATGGATATTGCCCACAAAGTAGACCTTATTCAAAGGTGAGAGGCAGAGAAGTCCAAGAGTTGACAACAAAGACTGACTTTGTTCCCTAGTGGATAACAAAATGATCGGGCCAAGGGCTCTTCTGATTTTTAACAACTTAAGATGGTATAGGGGGCTGAGTATGGGACAGGGGTGTAGAAGACTTCTAGGGGAATCCTGACCCAGCTGTGTTCCCTCTCTGGGGCTCATTTTCTTCACCATTCTACCAATGGCTAAGTCGAGGCCCAAAGAAGTGGGCAGACTTGCCCAGTGCCACACTGCAGAGCTCACACTGAAAAAGAATGAGGAGAGGAAGACAGAACGGCTTCTCCCAATATACTTACCGCTGTCTAGGGGAATGCAGACACCTGTTCTCTTCACTAAGAACAGGAAGTTAAGGAAAGGAGCTCTTCCACTTGTCTCAATATCCCCATTCCTAGGTCCAGGCATGGAACGTGGTGGGTATTCAGTAAATGCCTGCTGAATGCATGACCCTATTTTCCAAATGTTGCAGCTCTCAGCAGAACGTGACAGTTTTTTGGTGCCTGATCTCCTCGTCACAGAGAAAAATCTCTTAAGCCCGAAGTAGCCTATGACTTTATTTCTAAAGCTCCCCTCTCCTTTTCTGGTTATTTGAAATGCCTAATAGAGCTAGGCTACAGAGTCACGCTGGGCCAGCAGGGGTTGCTAGCATACAATGCGGCTTGCAGGGTCTGCTGGATAAATATTAATGCCTCATGTTATCAACTCTGAAAGCTCAAGAGTCTATAAATCAGATTTACTGGGAACGAGGAAGACCCATATTTCCATGGTCCACCCTCTTCATGTCTTGCTGCTGACAGCTGCTTAACACAATAAACTTTCAGATACAAGGAAGGCATAGTGGCAGGGGACAGGAGACTGTACCAGGATGTACTCAGGAATCCTCTGGGGATCACAGAGATTTTCTGAATTCTGTAACTCTGTGGTATGCTATCCCTGTGAGTCGATGTTACCATCTCAGAGAAGGTGAGAGGCCAAGGTAGGTTCAGGTGGACCTCGAGATCAGGGTTTCTAAGTAAAATTGTTGACCAGACACTGTGTGTAGATGACCTTACTGTACCACGGGCTGGCAGGACAAGACATACTCTGTGATCTCAACCCACTGTTGGAAATATCAGACACAAATGTAAAGATTTTGTCTAAGTCTGAGAATATCAAACTTTTAGGAACTATTCATTCAGAATAATAACAACCAGTGCAAACAGTGTTTTACTACTCACCGCCAGAGCTTACAGGATCTTTAATCACCCTGAGTTTGAAACAGGAGCTACTATCCTTATTTTACAGAAAACAGGCTGGCATGGGCAGATCCTTGAGCTAAACCAGGGCTGCATGCTCCAAATCCTCATCTCTTTCCACCCCACCTTGCCTGCCTCGCACATGCGGCTCTGCCTACTAGGACAGGTGCAATGAGCTTTGTGGCAGCTACTGTCACCATTGTGAGGTGACTATTGCTTTCTTTGGGGCCTTGGAGCAGGAGACACAGTAGGCATAGTGATTAAGGGACTAGGCTTTGAGGTCAGACAGACCTGACTTCTCTTTCCAGTCCTGCTGTTTACTAGCTGTGTGATACTGGGCACGTGGCTTGATTTCTCTGTGCCTCAATTTCCCCTATATGTAAAGTGGGGGTAAGTAGTAAATAAAGGCGGGGGGGAGTGCCTATTTTATGAGGTTGTTGTGTAAATTAAAGAGATAACTTGTACAGTGCCTAGCACACAGTAGACATTCAATGCATGGCAAATACACGAAAGGGAGTGTGGGCTCCTGAAACACCTCTGAGTTTCTGATTTGTAATCCCGAGTTGAGACTGCAACCTCCAAATATGGAACAAAGATGCTTTTGCTGGACTAATACGGGGGTAATAAAAAAACAGGAAGAAAAACCCAATGAAGACCACTCTGTTGGGAACAGCCACATATAGTTCGTTCATTCCTTTAATTTTTAAAAATGAGTAAGCAGACAATCATGTGCCCTTTGAATACCCAATAAAAACATTCATTATGCAAAACAGTACAACCTTTTTCATTTTAATAATACTGTAAATATCTCAGAAAGGATGTATTGTTTCTAATGAATATCAAAAAAGTCACCACAATGATGTTTCCCCGCCCCCACATTTCCCTCCCCACCCCCCCAAAGTTACCCAAATACTAGTAGGAAATTACAAAAACAAAGGCCCTCCCTCTGCCCGGCCCCATTAGTAGTGTTAAGTGAGTGAAATGTTAAGTGTCACATGTATGTACAATGCAGTGTGTCCCAGAAGGCTGCGGGGCTGTGCGTCTGTGAGAGCTGTGGGGGAGAACCAGTAGCAGCAGCAGCAGTGGGGAGACGCCTTCCCCGGGACCTGTTGGAAGAAGAGCAGATGAGGATGGGAACGAGCTGGGGCTCAAACAAGCCCCAATCTTCCTGGGTCTATTTCCTGGGTCCACCGGATCAAACAGCTCAGGGAGAGGCCGGGGAGGCCTGGGCTGTGTGTGCCAAAGGGCTCAGAACCAGGCATCCCAACCTGCCTGGGGGCATTGGACATCCCTCCCAGCAAACTCGGGTTCCAGATGAGGACTGCCTAGAGCAGAGAAGCGGGAGTTTGGGAACTTTTGGGTGAATCAAACACACAGGTTCATTACAAGAGACTAAAGCCTAAGTTTGGAGAAAGCTTGTATTTCCACTAAATAAAATTGGGAACATGAAGGAAAAGGATAAAGAATAAACCTTTCCTGTCCCCAAATAACTCAGAATCCAAGGCAGAGGTTTGACATCAAATCCAATTAAAGAAGAAAGAGATCAGCCAGAGAGGTCTGGAGTGCCAGCCCACCCTACCAGGCCTGCACTGAGGAGGACCAGGGAGCCCAGGTCTCCCTTTCAGTAAATGCTGAGGGTTCTCAGCCCTCTGGTGGGAGACATAGGTAGGATGGCACCCCAAAAATGGGTAGGGAAGAAGCCTCTGCAAACGTTCGAAGGTTCTGCTGGTGTCAGGAAAAATAGGAGAGGATTGAGAGGTATCAGGATGGTGGGGGAGAGAGGAGGGCCTGGACCAACCACAAGGAGAAGACGTGGCAGGGAGATAAAGAGGGATTGGGGTACAAAACTAGGCTCCGGGCCCACCTGTAGCTCCTTCCCCTGGGAGGCTGGTGGAAGGCCCTACAATGCAGATCCCAGCTGGGACAGTGGCAAAACAAACAGCCACAAGCAGAATAGAGGCTGCTTCCTAAGTCCACAAACCAGAGCTCAGGCAACTCCAGCCAGCCCCGCTGAGGATGGAGAGGCAGAGCCGAGGGTGAGAGCAGACAGAGCAGGAGCCTGTCGTGGGGGCCAGGACCTGGCTGGTCTCCAGAGAACGCACTGTTCAGGGAAGAAATCAAGCTAGAGTTTTGGGGAAAACACACATTACCACCACATTGTTTCCAGGATCAACTTGATTGAAAAGAAGCAGGCGGAGGGTGGAGAGAGGGATAACTGACTATGAATCTTAAGAAGAACCCAAGATGAACAACAGGTCTGCAAGCCAGCGAGGCATGCAACGAGAACCTCCAAAAGATGTGGCCAGGCTGAAAAGCACCTCGAAGTTACTTGATCCAGTCGTTCCCATTCGGGAGATGGGGAAACTGACAGCCAGGGAGTGGGAGTACCCGAGGTCACTGAGTGGGAGTACCCGAGGTCACTTAGTGTGATCTGGGCAGACGGGTGCCTGCAACTCAGCAGTGCCGAGTCTGGTGGGACTTTTTCTGTTCTGACATAGTCTGCAAACCCCCAGCTAAGAGGTTGAGAATGGGAAAGGGAGCATTTGGAAAAAAAAAAAAAAAAAAAAAGCCCCCACCCCCACTCCAGGTACGTGAAGGAGGGGCGGCTGCAATGCTCAGGGACAAACATGGGACATAGACTAGTTGATTAAAAGGCTGACAGAGGAGGGCAGGCATCGCTCCCACTCCGCCTGCCCACAGCCCAAGTATAAAAGTTTGACCATATGATACATTTCTTCCTAACCCCTAGAAAAGAGTGGTTAAAACAGTCTAGCACAAAAAGACTCTGCTAGTCCACATACAGTATTATCTCTTCATAAAGTTACATGATAATTGGGGGTGAGGAGGGGAATGTGACTTTAAACCAGAGTGTACACGACCACCTTAGAATTAACTTGTTAATAAGTCCTGTGCAAAACGAGCAAGCCTCTATCATTAGGTGAAGTATTGTGTTTCAGGTATTCATTTATACACACGGGGGAGGAGAAGGAAGCTGACGCATCCAACGTGGCAGGTGGACACTCAGAAGTGCGTCTCCTTCTCTGTGATGGCTGCAATGGTCCCATCGCCCTTGAGTTTGGCGTCACAGTCATTAATCATCACCGTCCGTGGGCCTGTCCCAAGCTTGCCCCGCATTTTCAGGTCGGCACTGGGGATCGTCAACTTCCGGATTTTCTAGGTGGGTGGAAAGGAGAAGAGCTGTCTGAGAGTGGCTGCTGGGGTCCTGGGGCCTGCCTCGGCCTCTCCCAGCCTCACAGTGGGCACAGCGGGGCCATGGAGTCATCAGACCAAGATCTGGGCCCCAGCTCTGCCACTCAGAACTTTGTCCTGGGTGATGACTTGAGCTCTGGGTCTCAGTTTCTGCCTCTGGAAAATGGGGACAACAGATGCCCATTCCCGGTATTTGGTGAGGAGTTAGGACGTCTGGAAGTGCTTGCCTGTACCTGGCCTACTGCAGGTGACCAAGATGAGAGAGCTATAATCAGGGCCAACTGCCTTACGCCTTCCCTTTGGTAGAGACAGAGCAGCTGGGTCTGAATCGCTTTGTGGCCACTCACCAGCTGTGTCGGCCAACTCACCTAACCTCTGTGAGCTCTATTCTCATCTGTGAAATGGGATAATAGTACCTGCTGAAAGGGCTATTGTGAGGGTGAGCTAAGGCACCTCTAGGGCTGTTTATATGACTGCTGGATAAATTGAAAGATTTCCCACAAAAGGGATTTCAGTATGCTGCCACCACCCAGAAGAACATGGGTGTGCCTTGTGCTCCTTGGGCTACGACTCAAAGGTGCAAACACTAACACTAATGCCAATGCTCACAGCCGCAGCTTCATGCCACCTTGCAAAGTAGCAGGCACTGGGCTGGGCCTGATGGGATGGCTACTGTCCCCACTGTACTGATGAGGAAGCAGAGGCCATGAGTAGATTCCTGACACCCCTGCTGCCATAGCCCTGCCTTGGGGTTTCACATCTCAGCTTCCTGTGTGTCCCACAGGTTCCCTCGGGATAAGACACTGGGCCAAGATTTGGAAGGTCCTTTCGGGCAAAAACCTTTTCCCTAGTAAGACTGGGAAGACTTTTGTGTGGATGATTTTTCATGATCAAGGTTCTATCTTCTCTTTCGGATCTTGCCAGGCTTAAGAGGCCGAACGAACCTACAGTGCCCAGGTGGGATTAACAGGCAGTCTTGTCCATGCTGAACACTTGACACATGACATCTCTTTCGGATCTTGCCAGGCTTAAGAGGCCGAACCTACAGTGCCCAGGTGGAATTAACAGGCAGTCTTGCCCATGCTGAACACTTGACACATGACGGGGTTAAAAGCATGAGCTCGGGAGCCAGGTGCCTCGTTTTGAACCCAGGTCTACCATTTAACTGGGGCAGGAAACTTAACCTCTCTGTGCCTCAGTTTCCTCAGGTGTCAAAGAGGGATAACAATGGTACCTGCCTTCCAGGATTATCATGAAGCTCACATTAGTTGGCCTAGCCACAGATTAGCACAGGATATCTATCCTTGCAGCAATTCTCTGAGGTAAGTACCATTAACCCCATTCCTCCATCCAGATCCTTCCTGTCAGTTGGGAGAACCTTCTGGGAATGGAAGGAGGTGGACTAACAGACACAGGTTCTCTCAGTAAGGAAGGCCTGAAGGCAAGGTCTAACTACCTTCAAAGACTTTGCTGTCTTTAACTTTAACAAGCCCTGATCTCTGTGCAGGCAGGTGTATGAGCTTAGGAAGATGGAGGGAACTCAGCAAAGTAGCCTCCCCTTCCTCCCTCCTTCCCCTCACGCCCCCGCCCACAGCAGGCCTGAAAGATGCTCTGGAGGACTTGCCAGGAGGGCAATACCAAAAGGCCACTGGAAGTTTGGGCAGGGGTCTGCAGTGGCCAAGGCCTTAGGGTTACAGGACTACTTTCTTCTGAACCTGTTTGGTTCCAAATCAGAATTAACCAACTGCCTTTGACCTACATTCCCTGCAGAAGGCAAGGAGCCTGACTTACTGGGGGCATGAACAGGCTTGCTCCTTCTACCTGGATGCACACTTTTTCTGGAGCCCAGGCCTCTCAGTAGGCAGGCAGGCTAAGTGAAGCTGACTCTGAGTGGGCAATTGCATTTGGATGTCTGCACACATACACCCACCCCTCTCTCCCTCTGACCTTGTCCTGGGAGACCAAGGTCAACCCCTGAGATCCTTGGGGTATGGCACTGGGGCAAAGACAGGGCCTCACAATGGAGTATGGCAGTGACATGAGGCAGTAAAGCTCAGGGGACAAGAGCACAGACTCCAGGTCTCTGCTCACCACTTAGAGGCTGTGTGCCCTTGGGCAAGCTGTTTCACTTCTCTGTGCTTCAGCTTCCTCATCTGTGAAATGAGGACAATAAAAGCCTCTACCTCAAAGGATTGCTCTTATGAGGATTAAATGGCTCGGTGTTTGTAAATGGCTTAGAATAGCGTCTGGCACACTGCAAAGTTTGCTAAATGAGCGAGAAACTGACTCAAACCATCTGATCCATGGACAGGTGGGAAAGGAGACTAAATAGAGAGTGCTCTGGAATAAGATGGCTTGGATCATAATTCAGTCTGCCACCAAGAGACCATATACTGTACCATTCCACTGAGGGGAAGTGTCCAGAAAAGGCAAATCCGTGGAGACAGAAAGGAGATTCATGTTGTCTGGGGGTGGAAACAGAGTTTACTGTGTGAATGGGCACGAGGGATCTCACTAGGGTGATGAAAATGTTCTAAAACTGATTTATGGTGATAATTGCACTATGCCGAACTATATACCCAAATGGGAAAATTTATCACATATAAAACATACTTCAATAAAATTGTTTTTAAAAATTTGGTTTCTACTATGGAAAACAGTATGGGTTTTCCTCAAAAAATTAAAAATAGAACTACCATATGATCCAGCAATTCCACTTCTGAGCATTTATCTGAATAAGAGAAAAATACTAACTGGAAAAGATCTGTACCCCCATGTTCATCACAGCATTATTTACAATAGCTAAGGTATGGAAGTTATCTAAGTAACTTAAGTGTCCATCGATGGATAAAGAAAATGTCACACACACACACACACACACACACACACACACACACACACAGAGGAATATTACACAGCCACAAACCAGGAAATCTTGCCATTTGTGACAACATGGATGGACCTTGAGGGCATTATGCTAAGTGAGATAAATCAGACAGAGAAAGACAAATACCATAGGATTTCACTTATATGTGGAATCTAAACAAAACAATATAAGCTCATACACAGAGAGGACAGATTGGGGGAGGGGTTGGCAAAATGGGTGAAGGGGTTCAAAAGACATTAAGTCATGGGGATGTAATGTACAGCAATGGAGACTATGGTTAAATAATACTGTATAGCATATTTAAAACTTGGCAAGAGAATAAATCTTAAAAGTTATCATCACGAGAAAGAAAATTTATAACTATGTATGATGGCAGATGTTAACTAGACTTACAGCAGTGATCATTTCACAATAGATACGAACATTGAATCATTATGTTGTGTACCTGAAACTACTATAACGTATCTCAATAAAAATCTGGTTTGCTAATTTTTGGCTGTGTGATGATAATTTTTGGTTGCATGACAATTTCTCTGAGCATCAGTTTCTCTACCTATTAAATGTAGAAAATGATGTCAGCACCCTGGTTTACTCTGAGGGCTAAAGGAGATATAGCATGTTCAGAGTCCAGCAGGATAATGATACAGAATAGGTCAGATTCTGTCCCTGTGCCCTGGGAATGGGGTCCTTAATGCATTCACAGAACTGTAAGAGCTAACGCTCGGTCATTTTCTCTTCCAGGTCTTGGTCTAAGTGCTTTCTTGTGAGTCCTCACAAAAACCTCTGTAAGTTAGAATCTGCTGCTTGTCCCCCTTTTACAAATGAGGAAACTGTGGCTGAGCTCAGAGAAACAGGGTCAACCCTGAGGCCTCACAGAGATGCCTCTACATAGTGGTCATGATGAACATCTGCCAGGGAAGGGCCGGTCACGGCTGCCCTGGAAGAGACGTGCGGGCCAGTTCTCATCACACCCACTGCCTAGATGAGAAGCTGAGACCCAGAGAAGCGCTCATGAACTCAGCCTCGATCATCAGCCCACCTGAGGCAGAGCCAAGCCCCACCCTGTCCTTGGGCCCTTTGAGGCTGTCCTTGCTGACCCCTCCTCCCCGCTGTCTCACCTCCAGCAGTTTCCCCTCTGTCTTCCACACCTTGATGAAGATCCAGAGGGGGATGCAGAGCATAGAGGACAGGGCCATGAGCCAGCCGATGCCATAGCCCCAGGCGGGGTAAGTGTAGATGTTGTTGTACTTGAGAGGCTTGTACTTGACCAGGAAGAAGATGAAAATGCCCTGTAGAGAGATGGGGAGAGGTCCCTGGGGCCTGCATGCAGGAGGCAAGCAGGGGTAAGGGTTGACCGAATGTGACAGCCTCAGAGAAGGCTCTGCCTGGATCCATGGTGAGTCTGAGGTATATCCCACTGGAATCAGACACACAGGGAATGGACCCCCACCCCCAGTTCCCAGGACCTCTCTACACCCCAGGAGCCTTAGCCTCTGCTTCTGCCCAGTCAGGAAGTTTTATTTTTTCCCTGGCTATTTCTTGGGGCTGGTTTCAAAATTGCCTTTCAGAACTATGATGGTTTATGAAGATACTCTGAGATATTTGCCTTGCCAAGAACTGAGTGAACAGCGGTGGGCTGTTTTTTATTAAATACCTACTCACAAAGGCCTCTCTGTGGTCTGGTCACAGAGAGGGCACAGCATGAGCCCTAACTTTACCCTCAGTTCTGCTGCTTTTGCAGTTAACAACAAAGCCAAATGTTGTCTCTCACGTGGTCCACGGCCAGTTTGTAGGTATAGAATCTGAGACTTCAAGAAGGGTAGTGACTTGCTTATGGTCATACAGCAAGCTAGTGGCAGAGCTGGGATCTCAGGGGGTCCCCTCCCTTGCCAAGCCCAGAGACTGTCCCCACAACTCCAACTTAGGAAGGAATCAGGTGCTTCGGACTTTGTGAGTGCACAGAGGGTCACTCAGGCAGAAGCCAACTCCTCAGTTCCAGCTCTGCCAGGGCTGGGGCTCTGCAATAGAAAAGTGTGTGGGGGGTGGGCCCTTACCGCACAGATTCCAGGGGTCACAACCTTCCAGCACCATTTAATGAGCGACAATGGCCGGTAGCCAATCATGTCTTCAATGTTATCATAGAAGCGGTTGCTTCCTGTCCAGGATAAAACAGACAGGCACACATACCCCAGAGAATTTTGTACAAGAATCAGAGGGAAGGCTATGAGAACCTGCTTTCCCTGGCTGGACACGGACAAATTGTGGCAGGGACCTTATTCACTACTGTTTAAAACTACCATGAGTTATACCTATGTAAGGTTTGAGAGTAAACTGCAGGAAGAGGGATTCTGGTTGATCTTGGGAAGACCCTTCTAGACCTTGGACAGTGAGGCCCAGGGAATACTGGAGTTTGTGGGAGAAAGGTGGAAGGTGGTCCCTTGAAATGCAGGGGGCAAGGGGCTGGCTGACTTGCATGGAGGTGAGGGTCAGGGCTCTGAAGGCCAGAGCCTGGCTGGGCTGCTAATGAGCAGAGTAGCCTGCAGGGGTGTCTCTTTCTGAGCCAAGTTCACTGTGGGAATATCCAACATCATCGAACCCAGCAACCCTTATGGAACTTGATTCGTTGGGGAAATAGGAGGACCAGAAGGCAGGTGTTGTCTGAGGACCAGTTACTCTGCTGGCTGCTTTCCCTAAATTATCTCCTACTTGGAGACGTGGTGACGATGACCCCATTTTACAAATGGAAAAACTGAGTTTCAGGGGCAGAAGGACTGGCTCAAAGAGTCTTTGAGAGGAAGGAGGATGAGGTTGACACCAATGGAGAAAGGCCACAGAGAACTTGAGCCCAACCCTGCCCAGGGCACCCATGTTTGGGGCCCTGATACAGGCCACTGCAGTGTGGACAGGCTTGGCTTCTACTCACCGTACACCCAGCCGATGCAGATGCACTCAAAGATGGCCACGAAAAGAAGGCACATCCCACTGGCGGCATAGGAGTCAAAGAGTTGGAAGATGTACATGCCGCCCTGTGGGGCGGGAGGACAGACACATGGATAGAGGGATGGACAGATACATGAAGAAGCATGGTTAGCCAGCTGGCTTTGGAAAGGGCCCTCTGTGCTGCCCTGTGCCTACCATCAGCCAGGAGTCATTTCCACCAGGGCAGACTGCTTGTCCCTAACGCCCTCTGTACCTGGGCACTCCTAAGAAACCATCCCCTGGGTAAAGGTCAGTCTTCTTTTTTGCTCCCACATGCCAGAAATGACACAGAAAACCAGAGATGGAGGTTGGGCAGCCTCAGCACCTATCCTGGATAACTCCAACAGCCTCCCCACTGGCCTCCTTCCCTCCACCTCACCCTGATCCTCTGCACACTGGCTTTCACAGGGACCTTTCTAATGTGCAAATCCAGTCACGTAACTCTGCAGTTTAATGTTACTCACTGGCTTCCTTCAGCCTGCCCGTCAGGGCCACCCTCTCCACTGGGCCTCATCTCCCCTTCTCACCAGCCACACTCAACGTGCTCCCTCCTGGACAGACTGTGGGACAGTCTCACCACTTTGCATCTATACATGCTCTTCTTGTTCACTTGTAAGTTCCTCCAAAGTGCAGTTCAAATGCCACCTCCTCCAGCCCTCCCCGACAGCCTCATTCTTTCTTTGGGCCTCCACAGCATATTTTATGAACGCATAGTTTTAATAAACTGTTTCCTTCTTAGTTGCTCATTTAGTGCTGAGTTGCTGCTGGGGAGGCCCATAAACCAGTCCTCTTTGTGTCTCCAGCCCTCATTGTAGGGCCTGGCTTGCAGTAGGTCCCTGTTAAGTGCAAACTGAGTCTTGTGGAGTGAAAGACCATGGAGGAGGGACTCTAACTGGCTTGTGCACAGCTGTATCCCCATTTTGGCCAAGGGCTTGGCATATAGTAGGTGCACAGCCAATATTTATGGGATGCAGGAATGACAGCTCTATAATATACAGATCTGTGAGATTTAGTTCAGTGAGAGGCCCAGGAGGTGTGCACTCGGCTGTCCAATTACAAGGCAGGCACTACTGTTATCCCCAACGCTCATATGGAGAAACCGAGGCATGGAGCAGTGAGAACAGTTGCCGAAAGTCATCTAACTGGCCAGTGTCCGGGCTGAGAACTAAACCCAGGTGGCCCTGGCTGCAGAGCCCATGCCCTTAACCACCCACTACACTGCCTTGGTGGAAAATGAGAAATTTGTGGCCTAGTTTTTCCCTAGAGCTGAGCTTTAAATGTCTATAAATGAGGGAGAAAATCCTGCCAGCAATTACTGTGAAGGCCGAGGACGACATGGCCCATTTGGCAATTTGAATGTGTGACTGCTCACAGATATTCCTTCATGGAGCCAGAAGGTTGGCATGTAAAGCCCAAGCGTTTGCTGGTTCACAGTCTCAGCAGCCAAGTGTCGGCTCCTTGCTGGGCCCAGAGGCTGAGAGGCACCCTTGGTCAGACCCGAGGCTTCAGGTGGAGGGTCGGCATGAGGGCTCTCTGAGCTGGTGGCACCCAGGGCTGGCAGTCCACTAGGGCCTTCCACCTGCCTGCTCCAAGCCAGTGCTGCCCATGCCAACGTCTGTTCTTGTAGCCCTGTCCCTGTCAGCCTCTTTAACACTTCAGGTTAACCCCCCAATTTGTGTGTGACAAAAGACTCTACTTTGCATAATTAATCAGCACTTAATGAGGCCCTGCTCACTACAGCCCTGGTTTCCCTGCCTGGGGAGAGGCGAGGTGGAAATAGGAAGTGCCGCACCATTCATTTGCTCAAACACTGATTATCGCTCTCATTAATGTGACAATGACTAGGAGCAGTAATAACACCAGCCACCATATACCAAATGCCCACTGTGCGCCAGGCCTCAAGGGCACAGAGCCAAGCAAGTTCTCTCTGTGGACTTCAGGGTCCGGTGAAAGAAGAAGGTGAACAGATGGGTCATTGTAACAGTGGGAAGGAGGCTGGGCTGAGCTTGATTGGAACAAAGTGCTGTGGGGAAGAAAAGCAGAGGGGGCTTCTGGGAGGTGGCGGCATTTGGCTGAGAAGTAGAGAATGAGGAGGTTCAATGGGCTAACCCCAGTACCACAGCAGCTGCTTTGACTGATTCTGAGTTCTCATTTCTTTCCTATAAACCTCTTGTCTCTAGGCAACAGTTATTTTTTTTTTTCTGCTTTTTACATTAATTTTTTGAGTGTAGGGAGAAAGATACCTAATGTCACCTTCCCAAAGTGCTTGAGAAAGTATTAGACAGAACGGCTGCAAGAGGGGAGAGAAACATGATTTCATGCAGATCGTGGTGAATCCTTCTTCACCCACAGGTCCAACGGGGACACGAAGATGGGTATACAGGAGGGCTGAAGCTAGAACACAGTGCCTGAAAGTGCCTAATATCATCGTATGTGTCTATTCTCAGTGATGTTCCAGAAAAGCCCGCTCTAAACTTTAAGCCAATAAAAGTGACTAGCTGATGTACCCATAGGTGACACTGTCTCCTTCAGCCCGAAGTTACTGGTAGGGGTGGCCAGGCCTCCAGAATACCAGATAAACCCAGCATTTCCCTCTGTGAGCCTCATTCCCCTCTGATAATGCCAGCAGTGACCTTTAGCTGAGCATTACACTTGCAAGACATTCTGCTAAGGGCTTAATGAGAACTTTCACGAGATTCTCATACTTTCCCATTAGGAAGATGAAAAAACTGAGTCACAGAGAAGGTACTAGACCTGGCCAAGCTCACACAGCTAGTCCATTTCAGAGGTGAGATATGGCATCAGACCTTCCTAACCCAATGCCCAGGCACTTGGCCCTGTGCTGTGCGGTCCATGTTGCTTACTCTGTCCATACCACTCACCTCTGTTAACATCACGAGGCCCAGAAAATAGGAGACGACCGATAGGGCCAGGATGAGCAGCTCCCGCCGATAGCCCCTCCGAAAGACCTTGGGGTACATGTCCACCACAGCAGTCACGAGGCTTTCCACGCACACAAACTGGACATGGTAGATATGATGATGTAAAGCCCAAGAAAAAGGCAACCTTAGTGGCTCTGGCTCTGGCGAGCACAGCAGGCCTAAACCCTCACTCAGCTCCCTTCCCACTGGGCGTATCTTCATTCCCTCACTCACTCACACTGACGGAGGGCCTGAGAATAACAAGCCCAGCACTTACAGAGCTCCAGCATGCCCATGTAACAGATGAGAACACTGAGGCTCAGAGAGGCGAAGTAACCTGCCCAAGTTCACTCAGCAAAGAAGTGGCAGAGTCAGGACCTGAACCGGGGATCTCTTGACTCTAAAGCTGGTTCTTCTTCTCTACCATGCTGCCTGTCACAAGCTGGGGCCTGTTCTGGGGTTAATGACTTAACTGAGATGTAGCCCCTGCCTTGGAGGCAAGACAGCAGTCCTGAGCACTGAGTGGGGCAGGATCTGGTCGGCCTCTATGGGCAGGACTTGATTTGTTCCTTCTCCAGGACTGTGATGGCCCCCTGCCCTTAGCTTCTGGTGCCTTTTGCTCTGCCAGGTGGAGGCAAGCAGAGGTGAGCCAGCATCCAACCCCTGTGTTGCCACCGTGTGAGTCTCTGGGCCTGGGCAGACTGTGCAGGTTCCGATGGCAGAGCGTGAGCCACTAACCATCTGGATCCTGCCATGCTGAGACAGGGCCAGGTATGCGGGATCTGCTCCATTCCTACTCAACCGGCCCAACTATTCCAACATACGAATCACCCCTCCTTGGGCTCTCTTGGCACTGTGGCCAGATTTCCTACATGTACTTTTCCCTGACCTTCCTCCTTGCCCTCAGTTTGGGCAGAAAAGTCCTTCCCTCTCCTTTAGGCCTAGGCCACAACCTTTACCCTGTGGGGCCATGCTTGCTTATATCTATCTCCCTACACTCATTTCCAGTGGCACAGAGGAGAACCGCAGAAAATGTGTGATTAATAACAACAATAATGGCAAACACATGGTGCTTGTTGTGTGCCAGGCTCTGTTTAAAGCAGTTAACAGATATTAATTTATTTAATTTCTATGTGGTGAATACTATTATTATCCCTGTTTTGTACCTGAAGACGTGGAAGCATAGGGGTGTAAGCAATTTGCCAAGATCACAGAGGTGTTAGGTGATAGAGCCTGGATTTGATCCAGGCAATCTCGTTCCAAAGGCTGGGCTTTAACCAATGAGCTGCACTGCCAGGAGGGAAGAGTAAAGGATTCTTTTCAGGGTTACCATGTGGGGCACTCTCTATCCCTGGAGCCATTTCTTGGCCCCAAATCCTTTCTGATTCATTCTACCTCATCAGGAAAGGTGTTTCCACTCTTATTGTGCAAAGGGACTGTAGCACAGAGAAGGAAAGTGACTAGCCCAGAGTCACACAGCTGGCAAGAGTTGTGGGCCTGGGACTCAAACTCAGCCCTGTCTGACTCCGAAGCCCAGGCTTCTAGCCTCCAGGCTGCCCTGCCTCTACAGCAAGGCTGGCTGTGCCCATCCAGGATAGAACCTAACGAAACATCAGAGCATGTGGACTAAGACGCACACAGACCTGGGTGTAGTTCCCTGCAAGTTACTCGGCATCTCTGAGCCTCAGTTTCTTCATCTGCAAAAAGAGGATAACAAAAGGAGCCCCCATCCTGCATGGTTATTGTGACAAAAAGCTGAGGACACAGCCCAGGCACAAAGCAAACAAAGCATGCGTGGGAGTGAACAGAGTAGCCATCCGCCCTCCACGCCAGACCTTTAACTCCCTTTGCAAACAAAGTATTTCAACCCAAGTGCTGGATGGCTCAGCCTAGGAACTCCAAGAGCTGAGACTCCGCTCCCCGCCCCCAACCTTCTTCTGCCCAGGCAGGCATGTCACTGTCACACACAAACTGAGACCTCTCCTGAGGCCTCCACCACAACAATGAAAGGGAAGATTATCAGCCACAATAGAAGAGAAGATGATGAATGACAATGGAAGGGAAGATTATCAGCAGAAACACCCGGTGCTTCAGCAGCTCAGCTTAGCAGTTTCTGAGAAAACATCCAGGGGAAGAAATTGGACCTGGCTGGGTTGACACACATGCTGGATTGACAGACATGCTGGCCACTGGGCTTGGGTGCTAAGTGACTTGTACGACATCATGGGTGTGGGGCAGCACTTTGCCAATAGACCCCAGTCTGATAGCAGGGCCATGGGCTTTGGCTGGAGGACATTCTCTGGGGCAAACAGGGGAACCAGCTGCGATAGAGCGGCAGGGCAAAGGGCAGGTTTCTGGGAGTGAAGAGCGACTGGAGGCCAATGGATTCTGGCTGAAAAACCAGGGAGAGGATTGGGAGGGCAGGCTGGGGTGTTTTACAGTGTGAGAGGATGTAAGTGCGTGCATTCATATGGAGATAAAGGGTAAATTGCTAGTTCTAACTATACACCCTTCACTGAGGAAGGCAGGCTGCCAAGTACAAGAGAGCCCTATAGGCAACTGAGAACAGAGGCAGGCAGGCGGGATGTTGGGGGAACAGGAGCAGGTGGTGGTACTTGGGACCCATGTGGCTGCCTGGGGCATGTCATGATTGCCTCAAAAAAAAAAAAAAAAAAAAGGTAAATTAGGTTTCGGTGTTATTTGTTCCTTGACTGCTTTGCAACTAGCTACGTTCTTTGCTTTTTTCTTTTTTTTTTTTTTTTATCAAATTACATAAAGTTTTTAAAAAAAAAAACAAAAAAAAAAAAACAGAAGAAGAAAGAAAAAGTTGCTTTCCTATGTCTTTGTGTCCTCCATGATTTGGCTGGGACAGGGACACATGCTGGTGGGGCCCTCAGATACCACTAACCATGGGGACAGTGGACAGGGCCCTGATGACCAGGGCTAGGAGGTGGCAGCTAGGCCCTAGAGCCACTCCTAAGAGCGGTATCTGGCCTCACTGCCCTCCCAGCCTGGGCTCCCCCTTCTTTTAGCCCCTTACCTGGCTGTCCAGGCCCAGGAAGATGAGCATCATGAAGAACAAGGTGGCCCACAGTGGGGACAGAGGCATCATGGTGACAGCCTTGGGGTAAGCAATAAAGGCCAGGCCTGGGCCTGGAGAGGAAGGAGAGAGAAAGGTGTTGGGTGGAGTTCAGTCCCTCGTTCAATTGTTATTTTAATACATTGTGTATTGAGTGCTTACTCTGTGCCAGGTGCTTTAATTCTCATTCAAATCACTTAAATCTCCCAGCAACCCTATGTATGCTAGTGGTACTATTATGATGGCCATTTTGCAGATGAGCAAGCAGAGGCATAGAGTAGTAAGCCGGTGTCTGGAAGGGTCAGGATTCAAACCCAGGTTGTTGTGACAAACAGACTTTCCACTGCACAGACCTGTCTCTACTGTTCTCACTGTGTGGGGATGAAGGTAGGGTGGGGAGGGTCTTATTAAAATGCATGTTCTCAGGCCCAAATGAGAGATTCTGATTCAGCCAGTCTGTGGTAAGGCAGGGATCAGGCACCCCATGATTCCAATGCAGGTAGTCAGAAGTCCAGGCTTGGACAAATGCTGTTCCACCCAGGCTGCCTCTTCTTTTGAGTTCCTCCCCTCATTTCCCAGGTCCACACTCACTTCTTTTGGCTGCTCCAAATAGAAGGCTTGGTGAGCATGTCCTCAGCTTGAGCTTTATTAATGTCAGGGGAGAGATACCTAATGTTCCAGCCCTGTAGCACAGTAGTCAAGGGCACAGACTCTGCAGCCAGATGGCCTGGGTTCAAATCCTTGTTCTTTACAGTGAGCTATATCTCAGCTGAAAAAATGGGGATAACAAAGTCTTACCTAATAAGGTGAACTTGAGGGGTCAGTGAGGTAAAGCAAAATATGGAAAATACTTAAAAATGTATATGCTAAAAAAACATTAGCTCTGATTATTTTCTTACCTTAAAAGCAATTTTTTTAAAAGTATAACTTACCTACATACAATAAGCACTCATTTAAAGGTTACAGTTCGATGAGTTTTAAAAGAGTATGCACCCAGATAACCACACTATAATCACAATATAGAACACTCCCATTGCCCCCCGGGGCCCCTCTGCCATCTTTCCACCCCCATTCTCTATCTTTGCCCTGGGCAAACATTGATCTGTTTTCTTTTTTCTTTTTCTTTTTTTTTCACTTTAGAGTAGCTTTGCTCATCCTGACTAGGAGTGGAATTGCTGAGTTATATGGCAACATGTATTTTACTTTCTAAGACATGCCAAACCGATTTTCAAATTGCTATGCCATTTTACATTTTACCAGCAATGTTTGAGCTCCAGAGGGTCCACATCCTTGCTAACAATTAATATTGTCGTTCTTTTAAATTTAGTCATTATAGTGGGTATGAGGTGTTATATATCATTATAGTTTTAATCTATATTACCCTGATAATTAATGATGTAAAATATCTTCACATATCTTTATTGTCCATTCATATACCTTTTTTTGTGAAGGGCCTGTTGAAACTGCCCATTTTTTATTGAAATATCTCCTTTTTTTTAGTTGTGAGAATTTTTTATATGAGATATAAATCCTCTATCAGAGAAGTGTTAATGACTATTTTCTCCTACTTTGTGGCTTGTCTTTTCATTTTCTTAATTGTATCTTGTGAAGAGAAAATGAAAATTTTCCAATTGTTTGTTGCCGGTATATAAAATAAACAATAGCTTTTTGTTTATTGTCCTTATCCTGTGACCTAAGTTCACTTATTAATTTTTCTGTAGGTTCCTTGTGATGCTCTGTTTGGTCAATCATGTTTATGAATAAACACAGTTTTTATTCTTCCTTTCTAATTGTAATGCTTTTTATTTCTTTTTCTTCCCTTACTGCACTCTCTGGAGATCCTAGAGAGGAAAGACTACATGGAATAGAAGAAGAACAAGCATATATGCTTGTTTTGTTTCTGATTTTAAGGGAAAACACTCAATATTTAATAGCTAGGAAATTAAGATTGGTACAATACTATTAAGATACAGACCTTAATTATTTTTCTCCTTACATCAATTTTTTCTGTTCTAGTACCCAATTCAGAATTCCATATTGCATTTCTTGGTTGTATCTCTTTAGTATCCTCCAGTCTGTGACAGTTGCTCAATCTTATCTTTCATGACCTTGACATTTTGGATGAGTACTGGTCATTATTTTACAGAATGTTTCTCAATGTGGAAACATTGATGTTGTCCCATGATTAAACAGAGGTTGTGCAATTTTGGGGGACAAGAAACCATAGAAGTGTATCATCATATTAGGAGGTACATGATGTCAGTAAACCTTAGTGCTGGTGATGTTTACCTTGATCACCTGGTTAAATTGGTGCCTGTCAGTTTTCTCCACTATATATTTACTGTTTTTTCTCTTTGTAATTGATAAATATTTGGAGGAGGGTATTTTGAGATTATGAAAATATCCTGTTTCAAGTCACACTTTTACCCATTGATTTTTAGCATCCATTGGTGAATCTTGCCTGCAACAATTCTGTGGTGTTTGCCTAATAGGTCTGTATTTTCATTTCTTCCAGATTTATTAATTAGAATTCTACTGTAAGAAAGAGCTATCCCTTCACACCCATTTATTTATTTACCTATTAAGTTTTTATTTATTTCAGTATGGACTCATGGTTTTATTCTGCGCACCATAATCCAATACTACCATTTATTTTGCTATTCTAATTGTTCCAGGTTTGGCCATTGGGAACTTCTTCAGATTGATTCCTGTGTCCTTTTGACATGCCTCCATCCTTTTTCTGAACATGTCATTTACTGGTACCCCAAATATTCTAGTTTCATCTTGTCCTGCCCCAGCACTCAACTGCTTATCCAAGGAGCTCTGGTTCTTTTTATTGGAGAATGGTACTCGGAAACCAAGATCTAGCCACTAAGTGTGCTCACTGCTACTGGAGTATCATTGCTCATAGACCCTGTCAGCACACAAAGTAGGAAATATGTATATGCATATTTACCCACACATACATTTCTATATCTATCTGTGTATATATATTAAAACCTTGAGCTTATACTGATACCTCCAATTTTAATATAGTTCATTTTAGCTTCTCCACTTTCCTTATTTGTAATTTCTTTCTCAGTGAAAAATCTGTATCTATATTGACTGGTTTGTTCAATCCTAACATACACAAACAATAATAATCGCTAACCCATACCTCTGTACTAATAATAACAAGAATACAGTAGTTATTGCTGTTCTTAGCCTTATAATATCCAGCCAAAATACTGTTTCCCTGAAATTTACTTTAGTTCTCTTCTCCCCCATTCCCTTAGGTGTGGTTACATTATTCATTTATAATATAGTCAAATTCATCTGTTACTGTTATACTCCCTTTGGGTTTCACTCACGAAAAATAACTATTTATTTTGGGTGGTATGTGAAACATTACCCTGGTTCTAAGAGTTAGACCTAAATAAAAATAAAATACAGATACACTCAGCGCTGTTGCTTCCTTCTCATACTTACTACCTCATTCCTAATTCCTCCCTTCTTTCTACCCCTTTTCCACTCACTCCCTGTGGCTAATCATTCTTTTTAGTTTCTAGTTTATCCTTTCTATATTTCTTTTGTACAAATGAACAGATATATTTTCTTATATCCTCCTTTTTTTTAATATGATGGGTAGGATACTATAGATACTTGCTTTTTAAATGTTTATACATATATACAGTTGTAATTTAAATAAATAATAGTCACAAAAATTAGTAAAAAGTTATTTATAATAGCCAAGACATGAAAATAATGTCAGTGTTCATCAACATGAATGAACAAAGAAGATGTGCTACATATGTGCAATGCAATATTATTTAGCCACAAGAAAGAAAGAAATCCTCTCATATGAAACAATCTGGATGGAGGGAAATTATGCTAGGTGTGATAAGCCAGACAGAGAAAGACACATTGAATAGTATTGTCACTTATAGGTGGAATCTAAAGAAAAAGTCAAACTCATAAAAACAGATAGTAGAAAAGTGGTTGCCAGAGGCTGGGGGGTGGGGGGAAATAGAGAATGGTTGGTAAAAGGGTATAAACTTTCAGCTATAAGATGAGCAAGGTCTGAAGATCTAATGTATAAAATGGTAACTATAGTTGATAACACTCTACCATATAATTAAAATTTGTTAAGAAAGTAAAACTTAAATGTTCTCACTCCTCCCCACCCCAATATGTGAAGTTTTGTACACTTTAAATACCTTACAACTTTATTTGTCAGTTATACCTCAATAAAGCTGAAAAATAACATAATACTCCTAAATTTCTAATTTCTTGATTTAAAAAAAAAACATGAATGGGTGTAATTTTGTCAAAGGCTTTTTCAACATCTATAGAGATAATTTTCTGACTTTTTCTGTTAGATCTATTAATATGCTATATGATATTAGTGGATTTCCTAGCATTAACCAACCTTGCATTATTCCTAGAAAAAATTTTATTTGGTCATGCAACATTACTTAATGTGATTTTGGATTCTGTTTGCTAATATTTTATTTAGTATTTTTATATCAATATGCATGAGTGACACTGGTCTGTAGTTTTCTTTCTTTGAATTGTCTTTATTTGGTTTAGATATTAATATTATACATGTTTCATGTGAAGAGTTAGGGAGTTTTTCTTCTTCCTCAAAGCTCTGAAATAATTTATAGAGCACCGGTATTATCTGGACCTTGAAAGTTTGGTAGAATTCCTTTGTGAAACCATCTGGGCCTGGTGTTTTTTGTGGAGTAGTTCTCAATAAATTTGTCTCTTTCTTTTATGGAAATTGGCCTGTTTAAACTTTCAGATCAAAAGGGGTCAATTTTGACAGTCTGTATTTCCCTAGGAAAATATTAATTTCACCTAGGTTTTCAAATTTATATGCATAGAGAATTGCAAAGTAGTCTCATGATTTGTAAAAACTGCTTCAGTGATTATTTCACATTTGGCAGTTCCTATTTTGTTATTTGCATGTTCTCCCATTTTTTTCTTGATTATCTGCTGATTTGTCTATTTTAATTTTTAAAAACTCAGGATTTTATTAATTAGATCTACTGTTTCTCTATTTTCTTCTTCATTAATTTCTGCTTTTATCTTT